TCAGACTCTCCATCTGAGCATGGCACATACCTGGGTTTTTTTTATTTCTTGCAGGTGATATTTTCTCATTCATCATCCTGGGATACTAATAAACCTTCTTGTTGCTTAACTGGGCTGATGGGCAGAGTTCCCTTAGTCTCCATTTCAAAGTCAGCCCAATGCTTTATGACTCCCAGATTTATCTAAATAGCTGTTTCAGCTTCAATCATCGAGTCTGAAGCCTGTAATCTCCTTTTGGGGAGACAATTAGTAGAACCAACTCCAGTGTTTAAGGCCTGTATCTGATTGCAACAATTCTATGAGCAGTTTGGGCATAAGATTCTGCTTAGCACTCTGACTTTAAGTTCCCTTTTTAATTCTAATACTTGGAGGACTTTCTTTCTTGATTTCAAACTCAGCTTCATATCTAAAGAAGTTTTAGCCATATGTTATTCTATGTTTAGAGCAGAAGAGTTAAGGATTCATTCCCATCAGCTCATGTTATATCATGATAAGTTTGAGAAAATTTTCAGAAAATGTATTTACTTATCAAGAAAAGTATGGAGCATCTACAATGTTGAAGCACAAGCACACCTCATTTTATTGCATTTCACTTTATTGTGCTTCACAAAGACTGTGGTTTTTACAAATTGAGTTTGTGGCAACTCTGCATCAAACAAGTATATTGGCACAATTTTTCAACAACATAAGATCACTTGGTGTCCCTGTCGCATTTTGGTGATTCTTGCAATTGATTTCAAATTTTATTATTAGTATTACATCTGTTATGGTGATCTATGATCAGTGCTTTTTTGATGTTACTTTTGTATTTGTTTTGGGGCACCTTGAACCGTGTCTGTATAAGACAGTGAACTTAATAAACGTTGTATGTGTTCTGACTGCTCCACAAACTGGTCATTACCCTGTCTCTCTCCTTCTCTTTAGGCCTCCCTAATCCCTGAGATACAACAATATTGAAATTAGGCCACTTAATAACCCTACGATGGCCTTTAAGTGGCTGAGTGAAAGGAACAGTCACATGTGACTCACTTCAAATCAAAAGCTAGAAATGATCAAGCTTAGTGAGGAAGGCATATCAAAAGCCAAGACAGGCTGAGAGGTAGGCCTCTTATGTCAAATAGTTAGCCAGGTTGTGAATAGAACAAAAAAGCTCTTGAAAGAAATTAAATGTGCTACTCCATTGAATACACAGATAACAAAAAAGCAAAACAGCCTTTTTGCCGATATAGAGAAAGTTTGAGTGGTTGAGACAGAAGATCAAACCAGCCACAACATTCTCTTAAGCTGAAGGCTAATCCAGAGCAAAACACAAACTCTTTTCAATTCTATGAAAGCTGAGAGAGATGAGGAAGTGCCAGAAGAAAAGTTTAAAGCTAGCAGAGGCTGCTTCATGAGGTTTAAGGAAAGAAGCAGTCTCCAAAATATAAAAGTACAAGGTGAATCAGTGAGTGCTGATATGGAAGCTGCAGTAAGTTAGTTAGCCAGGAGATCTAAACAACATCATTGATGAAGGTGGCTACACTAAACAACATATTTTCAATGTAGATGAAGCAGCCTTATATTGAAAGATAACATCTAGGACTTTCACAGTTAGAGAGAAGTTGATGCCTGACTTCAAAGCTTCAAAGGATAGGTTGACTATCTTGTTCTAAGGGCTAATGCAGCTGATGACTTTAAGTTGAAGCCAATGCTCATGTGTCATTCTGAAAATCCTAGGGCCCTTAAGAATTATGCTAAATCTACTCTGCTTGTGCTCTAGAAATGAAAGAACAAAGCCTGGATGATGGCATATCTGTTTACTGACCATTTTAAGTCCACTGTTGAGACCTACTTCTCAGAAAAAAAAAGATTTCTTTCAAAATGTTACTGCTCATTGGTGCATTGCTCTTGGGTGACCAGAGCATTGGTGTACATCTTCAGAAATACAAGGAGCTTAATGAAGATATACAAGAAGCTTAATGTTGTTTCCATGCTTGTGAACACATCCATTCTATAGCCCATGGATCAAGGAGGAATTTTGGCTTTTAAGTCTATTATTTAAGAAATACATTTTATACGGCTATAGATGCCATAGATGGTGATTCCTCTGATAAATCTAGGCAAAGTAAACTGAAAATCTCGTAGAAAGAATTCACCATTCTAGATGCCATTAAGAATTTTAATTCATGGGAGGATATCAGACTCTCAACATTCACAGGAGTTTGGAAGAGGTTGATTCAAACCTTCGTGAATGACTTTGAGGGATTCAAGACTTCACTGAAGGAAGTAACTGCATATGTGATAGAAATAGCAAGAGAACTACAGCCTGATGATATGCAGTCTCATGAGAAAACTTGAACACATGAGGACTTACTGCTGCTTCTATCTTTTTTCTTTTTCTCTTTCTCTCTCTCTCTCTCTTTTTTTTTTTTTTTTTTTTTTTTTGGTAGAGACCAGGTCTCACTATGCTGCTCAGGCTGGTCATAATTCCTGGGCTCAAGTGATCCTCCCACCTTGGCCTCCCAAAGTGCTGGGATTACAGGCATGAACCACCACACTCAGCGAGGACTTGCCCCTTATGAATGAACAAAGAAACTGCTTTTTTTTTTTTTTTTTTTCCTGAGACACAGTCTCGCCCTGTTGCCCAGGCTGGAATGCAGTGGTGTAATGTCGGCTCACTGCAACCTGTGCCTCCTGGGTTCAAGTGACTCTCCTACCCCAGCCTGCCAAGTAGCTGGGATTACAGGTGTGTGCCACTACGCCCAGCTAATTTTTATATTTTTAGTACAGGTGGGGTTTCACTATGTTGGTCAGGCTGGTCTTGAACTCTTGACCTCATGATCCTCCCGCCTTGGCCTCCCAAAGTGCTGGGATTACAGGCGTGAGCCACCGCGCCCAGCCAGAAACTGGTTTCTTGAGATAGAACCTACTCCTGATGAACATGCTGTGAACATTGTTGAAATAAAAGAAAGAATTTAGAACATTCTATAAATTTAATTGACAAAGCTACAGCAGAGTTTGAGAAGATTGACTCCAATTTTGAAAGAAGTTCTATGGGTAAAATGAAAGAAGTTCGATGGGTAAAATGCTATCAAACAGCATTGCATGCTACAGAGAAATCTTTTGTGAAAGGAAACGTCAATCTATGTGGCAAACTTCATTGTTTTCTCATTTTAAGAAATTGCCAAAGATACTCCAGCCATCAGCAACTACCACCCTAATCAGTCAGCTGCCATCAATATCTAGGCAAGACCATCCACCAGCAAACTAATGCAGGAACAGAAAAACAAACACTGTATGTTCTCACTTATAAGTGGGAGCTCATTGATAGGAACATATAGATACATTGGGGGAAACAACGTACATTGGGGCCTGTTGCAGTAGGGGTTAGTGGGAGGGAGAGCATCAGGAAGATTAACTAATGGATGCTGGGCTTAATACCTAGGTGATGGGATGATCTGTGCAGCAAACCACCATGGCACACATTTACCTATGTTAACAACCCTGCACATTCGGAACATGTACACCTGAACTTAAAAGCTGAAAAAAAAATAAAATTTTGAGACTTGGAAAATTGAGAAGGGAATTGCTCTGGTTTGAATGTCCGTGTCTCTCGCCAAAATGCACATTAAAACTTAATCCCAGTGTAACAGTATTAAGAGGTGGGGCCTTTAGGAAGTGACTGAACCACAAGGGTCCTATCCACCCTCATGGATGGGACCCAAGGGAGTGAGTTGGGCTGTCTGTCGCCTTTCTGTCTTCTACCATGTAAGGATGCCATGAGAAGATGACATAGATGGAACAGGCCCTCACTAGATATTATACACAGCTACAGCAGAGTTTGAAAGGACTGATTCCTACTGGTGCCTTGATCTTGGATTTCCCAGCCTCCAGAACTGTGAGAAGATACATTGTTTAAAAATAAATGATCCAATCTGTGATATTTTGTAATAGTAGCATACATGGACTAAAACGTCAATTATCGGGGAAGAAGAAAGGGAAGCGAAATCAGAGCAGAGTCAGTGATAGCATGAATTAGTTAACAGCAGCGAAACAAACCCAGCACCTTGCTCTCCAGGCCAACACACTGACAGGCAGCAAACTCCCTGAAATAGGGCTACATGACCTAGGCTTCATACTTGCTAAAGGTGCAGGGAGACAGCAAGACCCCTAAAAAGAATGGCTGTGTGCTATGTTAGTCAGAAGGCATCTGAATTCATCTCATGAAGAGTTCATTCTATTTTGGCCAAAAGCATTTTGTCCATTTTATTCTAGTGCTATACACATAATAATCATTTCATTTACTGTGGTAACTTTGTAATGTACCAACATGGCTAGCCTGAACTAAAGTCTCAAGTTTCCCTTTCCTGTATGTTTCTCTTGTTAGGTTGGGCCACAGGAGACCTTCGTGGGAGACATGGAGGGCAGACACGAAGTGGCAGCCATTTTGCAGCCCAACCATGTTGTCACTTATCTAGGAAGTATTAGAGGCCATGGACACTACCAAAACTGCCTCACCTTTTCCTAGACACTCCTTTAGCTTCTTTGACTCCTGAGACCAGGATGGGTGTTTAGCTACATAAAGAAAAGCCCAGCTTCTGTAGGCCACCCACACCACCGAGGTCTAAGACAAGAACTGACGTGGTTTCAGTCTGTCCTGTGGGCTCCACCTTATTTATGCTTGTGGGGTCCAGCTTGTTCTTACTCTCCCCTTCTTTACATCTATCTTGCCTTCACACCTGCCTGCCTTGTAGACTTACAAGTTCCATCGTCAGATGTGAAGACAGCAGCCTTACAGACTGCCCAGTTACATAAGCTCAAACTATTGTGATAAATTCCTTTGTGTCTATCATATATAACACACTACAAGACAATATAGAAATACATACATCCACTCTGCTCCTCTGATTGAATCCTGAGTTCCCACCATATTTGTTTCTGATTGTGTCAGTCCATTTGGGCTGCTATAACAAAGTACTAGAGATTGGGTGGCTGATAAACAACAGAAATTTATTTCTCACAGTTATGGAGCCTGGAGGTCCAAAACACAGTGCTAGGATGGTCAGGTTCTGGTGAGGGTCCTCTTCCAGGCTGCAGACTGCTGTCTTCTCATTGTGTTCACACACGGTAGAAAGAAACAAGACAGCTCTCTGGGGTGTCCATCGTAAGGGCACTAATCCCCTTCACGAGGTCACTCTCATGACCTAATCACCTCCCAAAAGTCCCACCTTCAAATACCATCACACCAGGGATTCGGATTTTGGCATATGAATTTTGGGAGGGACATAAACATTCACTCCATTGCACTGATATTACCAAAGGTATTTTTCAATTTCTGTGATGTATAGCAATTATATTTAGTACCTTTCATGGATCATTGTCCTGGTTATTTACTTTTTTTTTTTTTCTCTGAGACAGAGTCTCACTCTGTCACCCAGACTGGAGTGCAGTGGCGTGATCTCGGCTCACTATAACCTCTGCCTCCCAGGTTCAAGGATTCTCCTGCCTCAGCCTCCCGAGTAGCTGGGATTACAGGTGTGGGCCACCACACCTGGCTAATTTTTGTATTTTTAGTAGACATGGGATTTCACGGTTTCACCATGTTGGTCAGGCTGGTCTCAAACTCCCGACCTCAAGATCCGCCCACCTCAGCCTCCCAAAGTGCTGGGATTACCGGCATGAGCCACTGTGCCCAGCTTATTTACTCTTTCAATTTATCCCTCACTTTCTTTGAATACTATTTTTCTTGAACCAGCAGAATTGGAATGAACCATATTCAGAAAAAGTAATCATTTGTTTCCTACTTAAAAGTTATCTATAAAATGCCTGACCCCACCTCTCCCTTATCATCCTTGCAAGAGCCTTGAAAGGATCATTCAAAATACATAACTCGGATATAATGCTAATGAGGAACCAATAATTTATAAATTATGAATAGTGACAGAAGGCAAGGCAGTGTTTGTGATGCAGCTCAATAGGCTTTGCTGGCAGGAAAACATCCTGTAATAAATTCTTTGATTGCTGAAAAACATGGTTCAAATAAAAAATCAAGTAATACTGCGTATCTAAACAGAAATATAAGAACAAACACTTGCAAACTTTGAACTCCACTCCCCTGACCTTTTTAAACAGAACTTAAGCTGCATGGAAAGAGTAAGGAATTTTGTAATAAATCAGGTGTGGGTCTCAATCACGGCATTTTTGAGCTCTGTGACTTTAAGCCAGTGATTGAACTTTTCAGAAGCTGAGTTTTCTTACCTACAAAATGGCAGTAACAGTATCAGCCTCACAGGACTGGTGAAAAGATCAGAAATAATACACAAAATTTCTGGCATACTAAAGGCGCTGGGGGAATGCTTTAAACAGCATGTTTCCCCTTTTGGAAAAAAACTTTAAAAATATTTCTCTGAAAATGATATCCTAGAAAATCCCTACAAAAGGAGATATACTTTCCTGTTGCTCAAGCCCACTCACCTTGCTTTCCAGCCACAAGATTCCTATTTACCAAACCTTTCCCCAATTGGTGGGAGGTCAAACTAAAGAAACCTAGGAGCTTACTCTGTCGCTGTGGAGAGGATAAACATTCTTGCAGGGATGTGGGGCCTTAGAAAATGCAAGGCTCTGGTCCTTAATAAAAGAGCTGCTGCTTTTGCAACAGCACCATGTGCTTGGTCACAAGACAGATGAGGACAAATAGAGGGTAGGTCCTTCTTGGCCCAAGTTGGAGATGAGTGGGTGAGTAGACTGCTATTGTCTCTCACTGCTGCGAGCCATGTTTCTACCTTCCTGATTGTGGTCAAGCTACCAACGCGAGAAATTCCCAGAGTGAAAATATACTGACAGCTGTGTTTGGAATCTATTAACAACCTTTCAACAATTACACACAGGGGCAAATTTGACCTTGACATTGTAGAATTCATAGTCCCAAAAGACTGAATGAAAGTGAAGAGATCACGTAAATAAAAATAATCCAAAATGAAATGAAATTATGGATGAAGAAGGGGAAATACGAAAGCAAAATATTATCCTATTAGAGGCAATAGTTTAAAATTTTATCAGGCCAAGAGTACGAATCTTTATTCTATAACCTTAAACAAAACTCTGTTTTCCTCTACTTCTGCTATAAGTCATCCAACAATGTTTATTTTCTGATTCTTGTCTTATACATTACTATTTTAGTTTAGTATTTAATTACTTTTTTGTTTTTTTTTGAGACAGAGTCTTGCTCTGTCACCCAGGCTGGAGTGCAGTGGCACAATCTTGGCTCACTGCAACCTCCACCTCCCAGGTTCAATTGATTCTCCTGCCTCAGCCTACCAAGTAGCTGGGATTACAGGAATCCACCACTACTCGTAGCTAATGTTTGTACTTTTTTTTAGTAGAGACGGCGTATCACCATGTCCCAGGCTGGTCTCAAACTCCCTGACCTCAGGTGATTCACCTGCCTTGGCTTCGCAAAGTGCTGGGATTATAGGCGTGAGCCACCACGCCTGGCCTTAATAACTTTTTAAAATGTAAGCATTCATCTAGTGCTCTGATACTTATACCTATACTAACCATATACTTTCTACCTATGGTTTGAAGTTTCTTCAAACGTGTGGTCCAGAAAAGCATCATCTTCATGAATACAAAGTATTATATTCCTGAAAAAGAAAAATTTACAACAGAGTATTTCTGGTACTTTCCTTTTCCTCTGCTTCTAGCAATAGACTCGCTGTAAGTAAAACTCATCGCAGAATTTAGAATTAGTCAGTAGAACTCTGGTTTTAGTACCTAGTCCTCTCCTTTGATCTGGTATAAAATTATCCTCACAAGAAGGAAATAATATTTTTCACAGATCAGACCGACAATGATTTCTTAAAAGGCTATTATTCTGGACTGGCAAGGATTTGGGGGAAACACGTGCTTTTGAATACTTCTGTTAGACTTCTAAATCAATACATCTTTCTGAATGATAATTTGGAAATTTGACTCAGATTCTTAAAAATATATGTATTAAAATGTGTATGTTTTTAAATAATACATATATATGTTGTTTTGAGGTGGACAGGTCTATGCCAACCTACCCCAAAAAGTCCAAGGAAGCAGAGAGGCCAAAGAAAGAGGCTGACACCCCAGCTTCTCAGAAAGAAACATTTGATAGGGACTTAGGAACAGAAGCCATGCCTGTGTCTCAGGAGTGGCGAGACAACATGGTGGATCCCTGTGCCCTTAGCCCGGAGACCCAGGACTTAACAGAACATAAGGTAATGGTAGGTGTGATTCAGAAGGAATGTGTAGGACAATTGATGTATAATATCAAGGTTGTTTTGACCTAAGAGCAGAATTTACAGGAAGTACATTCTCTTACACAAGGAACAATCAATAAACTGGAAGTCTTAGAGGCCTTCTTGGAACTGGAGTTAATCAGCAGTCAACATGGCAAATTAGCATCCAGATAATGTTGCTTTAGCCTCCACACACGTATTTACAAAAAGATTTGCCATCAAGTATGTGTTTTGAATTTTATTATAACAAAAATTTGAAACAATCTAAGTGTCCTACTGTAGAATATTAATGAAATAAATTGCCACATATTAACATGACATAATATAGTATAGTCATGTTTAATGATAATACAGTCATTAAAATATGTAAAAATATTTAATTTCTGAGGAAGATATTGTAGTCAGTCAATTTTAGTTTACTGAGTAAACAAAAATATTAATATCAATTATTCCTGAATAAAGGAATTATGAGTGATTTTTAGTTTTAGCTTTGTGTTTTCTATATTTTATACATTTTCTGTGATGAATATGTATTACTTTGCAATCATATTATTTCAAGTATTAAAAACTATTTTAGAAACCAAGAATTTTAAGCCCACTTACATTTTCTGTGTTTATAATTAGAATCCTAAAATTTTGTAGTTGAAAGAGATCACAGGGATATTCTGGTACAAACTCAAGATTAAAAGTTTGGCCTCTAGAAATTGGAGACATAATTTACACAATCAATTAGGCTTTGTAATCAATAAAGTAAATTACATGGCCTCTTCAGTTCTTAAAATGATTCTATTTGGGCTACTTGTATGTGTTCTTTTTTAATAAAAAGAGGATAAACTCTACTAATTTGATACAAATAAATTCTTTTACTTTAAGAAACGTAGGAAACAGTTCTTTACTTTCAAAAGTAGGTCACTCTTGCAGCATATTTTAGTACAGCTTGAATAAATTCCTTTCAATTATTATCAAAGTATCTTAATGTTAGAATTCCTGTGAGATAGCAGACTTTCTGAAATAAATTCATATGTGTCAAACTGAAAATTTCTGTAATAATATTTTTTCAGTCTTTTAGAATTAAATTTAAAATGAGTTTCTGTTTCAGTCCCTGAATGTAGACATGTGCCACTGACACGCTGACAAGTTATCTGATTTACATGGCACTAAAAAGTTTCTTTTTAAAGGCAGTACATTGAACTTTATAGGCATTTGCTATTCTTAGAAATATTAAGCAAAGTGTCAATTGGTAAAGAGCAAAATTCAGTTCTCAAATTGTGTGGATGGTTCTTCTATTAATATGTTAGCAACTATATGGTAAAAATATCAAAGTTTTTTTAATAAGGTGTACACATTCAAAACAAAGTTATTCATTTATTACAACAAAAATTTATGTTATTACCTACTATATGCCGGTATTGTGCTAGATGCCAGGATATATCTGTAATAAGCTAGAGTCCATGCCCTTCAGGGGCCTACAGAATAGAGTGAATATTAAAAATAATCAGGCAATTAGACTACAGACTACAGTATGCTAAGTATAAGTAGTGTTATAAGAAAGTACTAGTGGTAGGGGAGAAGCAGGACAGGACATTGATAGAAACTATTTGAAGGACCTCTTCGGCTCACACACTTTTCCCTGGGAGTCACCTTCTGCCTTTTATCAGAGCCTTCTCTGAACTATGTACCTCCATCTTTCACACATGATCGGGCAAGGGATATAAACCTTACGCAGGCTAGGACTCAAAGACACGTGATCAGTTAGCTATGGCAGATAGCTTGGTTATATAAAATCAAGACTGAGGTGGTTGTTTGAGGCTATACATAAGTAGAAAAAGGACTGTTCTGAAGAAGTCTGGAGAAGAGAGGAGACCCAATCCTCTTGGGAAGAATCTGCTTTGAAGGTATCTCACTAATGTGCCTGGCAAATTGGTGCTGGCTATTGACAGGAGGCCTCAGATCTTCTCCATGGCACTGCTTGAGGCATGGCAGCTGGCTCTCAGTGAGCAATCCCAGAGACCAAGGCAGAAGCTGCAATGCCCTTTATCACCTAGTCTCAGCAGTCATACACTATCACTCTCACTGTATTTGTCACCAGGCCATCCCCCACTTACTGTGAAAGGAGTGTATAGAAGGCTTTCCTCACTTGTTAACAACTGGAAATAAACCCAACTACCTGCCTAGATGAGGACTTTAACACAATAATATTGGAAATAGCAGCAGCAGCAGGAGCGCTGCAATTGAAAAGGGTAATATCAATCTCTGCCAAAGGAGCAGGCAGGTAGTTAGAAGGAGGAAAAGGGACAATGAGATTACATTTGCACAACATACACCTACAAAGAACTACTCTAGGTTAAGTAGAGTCATTTGGGGAAGGGGGCATATACACCAGGCCAAAGGACTAGAAACATTGCTCTTCATGGTGTAAGAAGTTAACTCTCCTTGACTCCTAGCACAATTGAACGAGTGTTAGGTTTTGCATAGTATATGGAATTTGTGGAGGGCATTTGGGGCAGACTGAACCCCTTTGGAGTAGTCCTAAATTGAACCATAGTCCTAAAGAGTCCTAAGACTTAGGATATAAGCCTCAAGACTTACTCTTAAAACTTAGGACTCTGGGGAGTCCCATGGTTTTTTGGGAGTAACATTTTGCTGAATGTCTACCTTTGAGCATCAACAGTGATCCTCAAATTCTTTACGGTGCATGTACAGTCACTAAGTTTTTAGGGCAAAAACATAATATTGAAATTAGAACTGGCGTTGAAATCCTTACCCTGCTCTTGAAAGAATTCTAGAATTTTCAAAAAGGGGTTCTAAAGGAGCTGAATACATTTTTCAGGTGTACATAGACTTTTTAAAAACCTTCAGGATAGGACTGAATTTTGTGTTTTGTTTTAATGTAATCTCACATATTTGAAGAAATATACTTACTCATCACAGTTCTCAGAGGCAAAAAATTGAACGTAGCTAATCAAATAAAATACATTTTTCTGAAGGACCCCAGAGTCAAAGGAAGTAAATGATCTCCAATTTCAGAGTAAAAATAAATAGATAAACAAATAAACAAACAAAAAGAATCGGAGAACAACAACAACAACAAAACCTAGTTGAAATGGATAAGCTGAGTACATTTGAAGATAGATTTGGTTACATTTAGGTACAAAGAGAGTATGTAGTCTCAAATGGAAAATCAAGACAAAGGGCAACTGTGATGTGCACACAGTCGACTATAACACGAAAGAGCATCGGACTTAAAGCTCGATGTGGCTGTAGTGACCCCTGCTGGAGCCTATCTTTTAATTTTTCAACTAAAAACCTAAGTCAGGGCTTTTCTGAGGATAACTAAAATTTTCATGGAAAAACTGAATTTGAGAGTTGGAAGAACGCTTAGAGGACATTTAGCATAACTTCCTTACTTTGTAACTGATGAAACAGGCCTTTGGCCCAGAGAGGTTAAATGACTTGCTTTAGGTCACACAGCTGGGATTACCAGAATGTAAAGATGTCTGCTCAATTCTTGGGCCTGTTTCCATCAGGGCAGTTTTCTGTTACAACAAATAAAAGTATCTATAACACACAAAACGAGATGTCCAGGAAAAATCTCTTACATTGATTTTAAAATGTTCACTTAATCTAGTTAACTAAAACTCAGTTTTGCTGAAGAGAGAATTTCTAATTGATATTAATATATGACATTTTTTTTCCTTTGGCCTTTATGAGTTTCTACAACTTTGAATCTAACTCAAATTTATTTTTGGAATGTTAAGTAGTTCTGTCCTTCACTAGGTTACCTATGTTCCACATCTCTATTTTAATCTTTTTGAAATATTTATTTGGATATTCGTTTTACATCCTTTTCCATTCTTTGCCTCTAAAACTTGTTGATAATGTACTAAGCAAAAGGACAAAAAGGAAACGATGGTAAAGGACCTTACGCTGGGATTTTCTGGAAGGCCTGACTCTGATTCTTACCCTCTACTCAGAGCTCTGGGATCACCCACTCATGAGTGCTCTTTGCATATTCATTTTCCTTCCACCAGTCAATACTTCTCTTTCTCCACTCCTTAAGTCAGAGGTCTCCAGACATATCACGATCATGGGGTTTGTGCATTTACTCTTCTCTCACTCTACCAGAAGGCATAATCCTGGACCCTGCTTATATTCATAGGGAGTTATGGAAGCTGTGGCAAAGTCACTTTACTCCTTCCACATTTCCTTTCCGCCACCTTTAAAATAGGTATAATAATATCAGCTATACATACTTCACAGTGTTTCAGGGAGGATCTCTGTAGTTTTTTCCTCTCCAATTATTCAAGCAGGTAGCCAGGTTCATTTCTATTTTTTTGTGTGTGTCTGGAATTTTTTGCATGGGGAAAATTTAAGCCATCTGAAGTTTTAAAAATCCTTCTTATCTTTATAGAAAAGATTGTGGTAGGAGCCCTGGAGAAGGAAGGGAGAAGAGGGCTTTAAGTAAAAAGAACAAGATAGAAGACTGTCCCATTCTGACCAGAAAGGTTATAGAGGTTTATTGGTTTCATGACCAATAGGGAACACCATAGAGCCTGCTCTGAGGATGTCGCTGAGCAGGGTGGAAAGACCTCAGGGTGGAAGGGTTCATGATGTATGATTCAAAACCTAACTGGAAGAGAAACAGAAGTAGAGATTCACATTGATTCATGGGCAAGTGGCACTTTGGCCAAGGAGTCAGTGCGTTGAAAAACAGAATTGGAAGAATGGTTAAAGGGAGGCCTGAAGAAGAGTTTTAGGATGGGCCTCTCAAAGTAAGCAGAGTGAGAATATGTGTCCCAAATTAATGCTTACTAAAAGGCATCCACTGTAAAACAGATTCTCAGTAATCAAGTAAAGAGTATGGCCAATCCTGTGGATGCCAGTTAGCTGCCTCCCCTAGCCACCCTGGCGCTTGTACAATGGGCCCATGAACACTGTGGTCCTAGCAACAGGCATGTTGATTATGTTTGGGCTTAAGAACATAGGATTCCTTTCTCCTACCATGATCTGGCTAGTCTCACTGATGAGAAATTTAAGGAATCTGAGTTGAAGAAATGGTTTCATGCCCATTGGAAGAAACTGACTTGATTAAATGGTAGAATAACCTATTGACAACTTATGTTGCCACTTGTAAGACTAGGGAGCTGTCCCACAAGTTATAGCATATTCCCCAAGCCAGCAACTAATATATAATGCTCTTTCTTCCATAGCCAGAATACTTAGATCCAAAAATGAAAGTGTGAAAGTATTGGTGGTTCCATTATTATTCCTAATGACCTACTCACATAACTTTTGTTTCCAACCTCACAATGTTGTGCTCTTAGTTTCCATGGAAGGAGTACTTTTTCCAGGAAACACTAGAAGGGTTCCTTTGAATGGAAGCTGAGACTGCCACATCAGCCACTTTGAGGTCTTCAAGGCTCTGAACCAACAGGGAAAGAAAGGGATTACTATATTCACTGGGACAATTAATCCTAATCATAAAGTGAGAAAAGGGTTGATACTACAAAACAGAGGGAAGACTATGTCTCAAAGGCAAGAGATTCTCTGAGCAACTCTTCATATCCATATCTGAGCAACTCTTCATATCCATATCTGAGCAATTCCTTCCATATCCATGGTAAAATTTACAAGATTAGAGCAAACCAAGCCAAGCAAGAACCACAATGGTTCAGATATTTCAGGAATGAAGGTTTAGGTCACTCTGACTGATAAATAATAACACCTAGCTAAAATGATAACTGAGCAAAGGGAGCACGGGAAGGGGAGTGGAAGAGGGAGTTACAAATACCTACTATGGCCTCATAAAGTGTATAGACTGCAACCATCATGCATATTTTCTAATTTTTCTCTTTTCCTATCTTCCCTGAAGTCTTTGAGGATTTGAAGCTAATTATGGAATAGGTCAGGGTCTGGAAGCGAAAAGTAGTGGGAATTAACATTGAGGAGATTCGTAATCTTCCTGCAAATAAACCACCTCAGGTGAAATTATTACAGGTTATCAGATGGAAGAGGAGGACTGCTCCTACTAACAACTAAGACTCAGTGGAGTTTGTTAATTCAGGCAACAATTGGTGATATTTTAAGGAATGTTTTGTCATTACATTGTATAAATTATCAGTGTCCTATTTTCTATTGATAGTGAGGTCATTACTGATTTCAAGTCTAATCTATGTGTATGTTAACATCCACAATGTGCTTATACTATGTGATAGATTTCTTTGGAGGAAGGGAAACAAAGTGAAGGATTTGTAGTTGGATTCATCAGAACTTACCCAAACATTTCCATTCACAGGTTCCCACTCTCCTAATCTATGCCTAGAAAGGCTGCACTGTAATGCTGAAAGCTGTAGAAGCAAATTTAGGTTTGTTTTTTGGATATTTCAGCCCCATTAGTACAAGAAATACGACAGTCTTTTAGGTAGTTTCTAGTGCAATCAGAACCTTTCCCATGGCCTTCATGCTTATAATTTCCACTATAATATTTTATTACACCAGTTACTTCAACTCTTAAGCCTTATTGCTGAGAGGCACCTGGTTACCAGCAACAAAAGCGGCTCATTTAAGAAATGTTTTGTCACTGTATGGTATGGATGATCAGTGTCCTATTTTCCATTGACAGTGAGGTCATTACCAATTTCAAATTTAATCTATGTATATGTTCACATCTACAACGTGCTTATACTATGTGATAAATTGTTCAGGAGGAAGGGGAACACAAATGGAGGAAAGAAATGACCCATGGCCTCAAGTATGTTGTGATCTTATAATCAGGAGCTAAAAGAGTTCCGCTAAGCTTCAGAGAGGAAACAGGATTCTTTCAGCTGCCTCATCCCCTCTTCACTAGATGATCGGTGAACACTATATTTGTTAGAGTTAGAGACGAGTAGAGACGAGAGGATCTATTTCTTGGAGTCCTAAGTACTGATCTAGTATTTCTCACAGAAGCGGTGTTATAAATGACAGTTAAGCTTTCACACGAATTCTTCAAAGTCTATTGAACCCAAAAGGTACTGAAATACACTATTATTTGCATATAAAATATTGTAAATATCTGGCAAAATTATGAATAGGCTTTAATTGAATAACCAGGAAACTTAATTACCATCCAGACATTGTTCCTATGGTAAAATATATTTCATGTCTAATCTAATATGGTATTGAAAATATCCTTTTCCTTTCCCTCCCCTCAAGCATATATTGCCTACCCTGGCATCTATGGTTAAAAGGGAGTCCTCCTCTCCTGGCCACTTCCCAATAATGCCATGTGGTCTGGCAATGAAGGAATCACCCCTGACTAGGTGTAAAGAGAAAGGTGGCTTGGGAAATGGTTGGCAGCAGTGGTAGAAAGGAGAAGATGGGCTTCACAGCCAGGCTGACTAGGAAAACTAGAAAAGTTTTCCCATGGCTTTTTCAACGCACTATATGCGTCTGACCCCAACAGGAGGCCACCAGAGGCAGCATTCCCTCCATCTGTCCCCAGATAAAACCCTTTTCAAGAATACCTTTTACTTCTTTCACAATCAATATTTTACAAAATGTTAAGTAACTTGTCGAAGTCCATTTAGCAAGAAAATATGAAAGCCAAGGTTGAAAGTTAGGTTTATCTTACTCCCATGTCCCTTCCTGTATGTTTTTCAGTACTTTCTGGGAAAATGTAATCACCTTAAAAACAGTCAACAAGTGGGTTAGAAGAGGGGATGTCAGTTAATTAAATGACTGAATCGCAGTTGTTTAACTACAGTCTCTGTAGACTGTAATCTGATTAAAGGAATTTTATTGTGGTTTTTTTGACTCCATGAATACATTAAAGAGTTATATAACATAGCCTCAAAAAATAGTTAATAAGGGGCATTTTCCACCAATCTATCATGATAGATAAACTATATTTCCCATCAGTGGTCTCAAATCAGCCAGCACATTAAAATCACTCAGAAGCTTTAAAATTACCTGAGCTTTGGCCAGGTATATTGGCTCATGCCTGTAATCCCAGCACTTTGGGAGGCCAAGGTGGGTGGATCACTTGAGGTGAGGAATTCGAAACCAGCCTGGCCAACATGGTAAAACCCTGTCTCTACTAAAAATGCAAAAATTAGCCGGGCATGGTGGTGGGTGTCTGTAATCCCAGGTACATGGGAGGCTGAGGCAGGAGAATTCCTTGAGCCCAGGAAGCAGAGGTTG